ATGAATATTAAATAAAAAATAAAAGTAATTGTCAGTTTCTTAAATAATAAACATATACTTAAGGAAATACATACATGTTAAAGGAGAACAACTCTAAACTGCTCAAATTAATTTGTAAACACCATTTTTTTCTAATGATTTCTTGGCTCCTCCTTTTTTCCAGTGGGTGCATCTTAGCAAACACAACATGGGTTTTTATGGCTGATGTCAATTCCTATGCTATTCTATTATGATGAAGTTTGCAGGTCACTTTTACTTTTAAAATCATATTTTATGAGACCGGAGAGATGACTAAGTGATTAAGATTACTACTTGCTAATTTTTCAAAGGACCTGAATTCAGTTCCTATCACCTATGTCTGGTGATTGATAGCCACTTGTATTTTTTACTCAGGGGATCTGACACTCTTTTCTGGCCTCTGTGGCAAACTGCATACATGTGCACCCACACAAACACAAGTATACACATGTTTTGAACTCTATGCAAACCGTGTTGGCCTTCCATTCATAGAGATCTGCCTGTCTTTGCCTGTTGAGTGTTGGGATTAATGGTGTGTGTGACACTTATTTTTTAAAGATAGTTATGACTTTGAGATGAAAATTATGTGTGTGGTGTATGTGTGTACATGTTCAACTGTGTAAACATATATGTAGAGGCCAGGTATTGTTATCAGACATTTTTCTCAATCGCTCTTCACCTTAGTTTTTAAGACAAAGTCTCGCATTGGACCTGGATGTCATTATTTCAGCTAGACTGACTGGCCACCAGGTCACAGTGATTCTCCTGTCTCTGTTTTACCAGTGCATGGACTATAGGCACTCACACTTCTGCCTGAGTTTTTAAATGGGTGTTGGGGATTCAAATTCAGTTGTTCATGCATGTGTGGGAATCTCTTTCTAACTGAGCAATCTTTCTAGCACCTGGTGGTAGATATTTTAAACCATAACACAAGAGAAAACAAGTAGTATTACAGAGTTGGAACTAAAACTTGATTATTTTGAAAACGTATCTCAATATTTTATTTATATATGATTATTTATCATACATATTTTACAAACTTAGATTACATTTTCTGTAGTGTTTTCATATTGTAAGATGGAAATTTCTCGTGCTGGAATGTTGGAGAAACTACATATGAATTATGCATATTTATTATACTTCTCTTTATAAATAAAGTTAACTACATCTAGCACTTTCATCTTTTTGGCATCAGTCGACTTTAGAAAACCATGAATGAAGCACAGAGAAGTAGAGCATGATTTAATGTTAAGTTACACAAGTTGTTGAGCTCTTTGCATTTTCTTTACCATAATTGAGTGTATTACACACACACACACACACACACACACACACACACACACACACACACCTCTGCCATGGTTGAAGAGAACAATGTGGTGCCTAGTGCTGATTAAACATTAATTAATACTTAATGGAACTGAACAGTAGTTGGAAGAGAAATTAATAGTTTGGCAGATTTTTCACTGTGTCAATAAGTTTTGACAGTATGAAAACTCTCAGTATGTTTGAAATTATCTTCTGTCCCATGTTCTTTGATTCTTGACCTCAGAATGGACATGTTACAATTTTAAGCAGTCACTGCCACAGAATATATGTTTCAAGTGAGATCACTTTGAAAAATGAAGAACTGTTCTTGCTCTCTCTGTTTCTTTAGTTTGTCTCCCTGTCCTTCTGTGTCTGTGTTATATATGTCTAAATATATAGACATATGTACACGCATTTGCAATACGTGCTTGCTCTGAAATAAGAATGAGACCAAGTCACACAATTAAATCGTTATCTGGGCATGGGTGGGTATATTTGTGTCAATTATCCCCTACCCATCTGTAGGAGGAAGCCTGTATGCCACCATTAGCCATGTGACTTACTAGAGGCGCATACAGATGAGGTAATAAAAGAGCAGTTTACCACACCACTAACCACACACACTTTAGGCATGACTAAAGACGTATACGGACGGACATAAAGATGTATACGTACGTAGGCGGTGAACTACATCACTAGCCAGGCCCAATTTTGGGCATGGCTAGGGAGCATTACGGGGGAAGGCATAAAAGACTGAAGAAAAGAAGACTTGGTCTCTTCTTTCCGGCTTTCAGCTTCCAGTTCGGCAGCTGAAAACTACTGGGCTTATCTGGTTTACTTGTTTGGTATCTTGTGAGTAATTTCTACAATAAATACTTAGTTTTACTTTCAGTAAGTGTGCCGTTTATCGTTACAGCATCACCCATCCAATTTTTGTAGCATTTTATTTGGAAGAATTTTATGTTTCTTTCCTTCCAAAATGAAAAGCAGCATACTACTGACATAGAAAAATGAATTTATGATGAGTAGTTTGAAAACAGATTCAGTTTATAAGAACAAGAAGTAGAAGGCTGCTCAATGGTGAGTATATGGCATTTAAGTTTTAGATGTTCATTATGTGGATACTATATTTTTCAGGAAAACACCTTATACCATATAAGTGAGTCCTTGAGGAACACAAAACTCTTTCCTTGAACACAGTCTGGTCATTATCTTCTCTGATCCCTTAAGGAGTACTCCCTAGCTTGATATCTGTTCTTGGACTGCATAATGCAGAGTTAGTAAGGATCTGGCAGGCTATTTATTTTTTTTAAAGCCAACCAACCTTGACATCTGGTCGACCTTCTTTTTCTCTCACCTGTTGTATCTTTTGCTTCACCCTGATTTCATCAAAAATGTTGCTGAGTCAATTTGACTGCAATCCCTCCACACTGATGGTTCCTGTTAGTAATTTTCTAACCAGTAACCTCTGTCTGTGCACCAATCCCCAGTTGTCCTTGTCACACTCAGAATGGAAGCCAGTTCTATACTTAGGAGTGTTTATTCCTATTGTAAATCCTCTTGGATGAAGTTGATCTTCAGTGATGTAGTTTACATGTAGCACTGGTTTTCTCCACAATGTCTTAGCTTAGTTTACTAGAGTGAATTTTCAGATGCTAGTAGAGTGGCTGACAAGAAGCAGCTGGACAGCATAACATGTGGTTTCAAACATACAGAGACCCTATGAACGAAATTGGTAAGTATTTCTAGCATACCACAGTTCTACTACTATACTTTCATTCTGATTTAAGATGCCATGAGTGAGTAAATTGGCAACACCGATTTATACAGCATAATGAAGAGAAAACAAATTTCAGAAGTCATTTGGTTAAGGAAGGAAGGAGGCAATTGTTGGCAAAAGTAAATTAAGAAAAAGCACGTGGAGCTAACTAAATATTCCGTGGTAGTGAAAATAATTAATTTAGAGAGGATAATAATGGTAGTTTTAAATTATAGTAATAAAATTGATTAAAACTTAAGTTCACAATAAATTTCTCTTTATTGTTAGTATAGTCACAATTAATTTGTATATTTTGCTTACCTATTTTATTGTTACATATCTGTAGCTCTTATTCTTTGAGACGATTTTGCCCAGTGCCCTAGCTATTGCAGTAAAGAGATATTACTGATATTAAAACAAGAACCATTCTAATACTTAATGAAGGCTGGCTTATTGAGGAGATATGTGCCAATTTAGTAAGGATTTTCCAATCTACAAATTTTACAGAATCTTGTGCATTAAATATATAAAGGTGTGTAAAAGGTTGTTACAAGTAAATTTAAGGTTCTGCAATGATAAGAGACATATTGCAATCCTATAACTGACAATAGTAGTTTTATGTTTTCTTATAACACAAAGTTTCTTTCATTTATTTGATGCTGCATCATTCGTACATTCAATCCTCACGTGTGAAAAGCAAGAAAAACTTGTAGATTAAAGAAAATAAAAGATTACCAAAACTCCATCTTGAAATAGTGTCTGTGAATAAATCAACTGAAAATGACTTAATCAATAAGCAAATTTTAAGGAAAATGCTTTCAGCCCATAGACTTTGACATGAGGTTTTTTAATTCCATGTTAGTCAAAAATGAAGCAATCTGACAGACATCAATCTTCTTTGAATGATATATCTTGGGCTTTAAAATCCAAGATGTAATAGTTTCTAATGAGAGAAGCATAGTATAATTTTTGACATAAGATAATGTAATGCTTCAAAAATTAAAAAAATTCTATATAGATAATTATACAAAAAGAGAATCACAGTCTTGAAAAACAGCATTAATTTTTTATTATATTTCTGATCAAATTATCTGCAGTTACATGAGGAAGACTATACATTGTTCACAGGTTAATTATTCTTTAGAGGTTTGGTTAGCTGAAAAATTAACCTAAAGTTAATATAACAAAAACCAACTGATAAAGTCATGCATAACACTTTAATTTGTTTAAAGCATACTGTCTTGATAAATGTGATACCAGTCTGGACTGAACAACAGACTCAGATATCCCTCTCAAGAAGATACACTTTGTATATACACAAAATAATTAGCATAATAAAATAGCAATACTTTTCTGTGGAATTGCCTTTTGGAACATTTTTCTCACTAATATTATGAAGTCACTACACATCATGTAAAGAGATTTCATTAAAAAATATGTGACATGGTTTCTTTTTATTCTGTTTCCCACAATAAATTGCACATTACCCCTAAAATACCAAGATACTTCACTATATTTTTTCAGAGTATCATCACTCATCATATATTTAATGTAATCTTAAGGAAAAGCTTTTGCATAATTCATAAAGATGAAACAATAAGGAAATGCAATTTATTCAAATAAGTTCAAGTACAGTTTTACAACTGAATCTGTTTTTTGGCATATAATTCAGGGTTCCTTACTCCTCTAGTACATTAACAAGCTTGGCTAGACACTGTGTGTGGAGCTGGTATTCTCTTTGTCTCACTACTTCAGAGAAAAATCAAGTATTAAAATAAAACCTAATCAGGTCATTATATTTCAATTTTATCTTTATTGTAAATAAAAATTATGTTTATTTCATGGTTTTAAAATTTTTTATTTATTTCCAAGATTTTATATATCTTTATATCTGAAACGTATTTAATAAATATTTAATTTTAAAATAATTGCTAATTTATAGGAAGAAATTAAAAGTTACTGAAAATAATTTACACACAACTTTTATCAATTCACTTTACAAAATAACAATTTTATATTTCACCATTTTTCAATACATCTTACTATTGGAAAACGTGTTACAGTGAATTTCTTAAAAAAATAATAAAGTTATTGAATGGCCAAAAACAGTGCCAGTGGGTATTAGGAAATGTATAGTGAACTCTAATTGGAATGGAGTGGAATTTCCTTTTTAGGAAGTAAACATAATTTTTGGATAACAGCGAATTTTTAATGCAGATTATAACTACAATGGAACAGGCTGCTTCCCTCTGTCTTTATATGGGAGCTAAGAGACAGTCTAAAGCAGTGCACTATTATGGTCAGTGGTGTTTGACCCTGGGGTCTTTTTTTTGTTCCTGGCAAGCACACTCCCCATTGAGCCACATTCCTGCAATTAGCATGTAGTGTTATGGGTAGAATTGTAAGACCACAAAGAAAACACAGTAATGAATTTTGAAGGCATCATGGAGTATATGACTTAGGGGTTATATTCGACATGTAAGTCTTTTGTAGAATTCTAATTTTGTGGGAATATTTTCCAGTATTTGTTATTCATTATTCACTATCCATTATTCAGCTAAATTGTTCTTGTTACAATTATTTGAACAACATTGCACTTGGGAGCTTATCTAGTTCTACTGGTACAGGTTAGACAATGTTGGGTCCAGTTTTATAGGACTTGAAATTTGACAGTTATAATGTTGTGCAGTTTTGATGACTAAATTCTTTCCCAAAATGCACAAAAGCTAACAATTTACTGCAAGTTTATAGTCTCCTTGAAGTCACTGAGCTAAAAGGATTAATGCCTCTTTAACAGCTTATTGCTCAGCCTTGAAGTCAATCGTAGGCACTAAAATAAGAATTATCGTGTTAAAAATGAACACAAATTCACAGGCCAGGAATGCAAGTATTATAACTGTGCTTGCTTGATAGGTATTGATTAAAAGAGTCTTTCAATTTCAAGCATGAGATAGCAATTCTTTCAGTCACTCCTTTAACAATCTCCTCACTGAGGTAGAATACTTCTTATGTTTATAGGTTGTACTTTCACTGATATAATTGCCTTGGGTTCGTTGTCAAATTAAACTGTTGTGTGATTAGAAATCACACTAATGTGTTCCTAATATCCTGGTAAAGATGTCCATTCTCTTATAGTGTTTGCCTTTTTTAGCATCAATGAATACTGACCAACTTGTCTGAGAAATACAGAGCATATGTTGCTAACTTTAAAGAGTTTTTGATGCTTTTTATGCCGCAAAGTGTGTGAACTCTATCTTGGAGTGGGTTGGCTTGGAATGCTTCCATTTTCCAATTTTTATTATGAAAGATATTTCCTATTTTATTTTCTAACCTCTCATATTCTCATAGGACAATTTCCTGGAGTGCACATTTTATAAATAAAAGGAAATTCATCGCTGCTACGAGATCCCATTCTTCCAAGTAACTAGTACATTAAGGTACAGTGTGCTATGATTAGAAGCCTATGTTTCCACAAAATGATATGAGTGTAATTTAAAAACCATGGGAAAGATATGCTTAACTATATCCAAATAGTCTGTTTAGTTATAAAAATATTAGAGTAGCTAAAACTCGCCATCTTCTGTTAAGTACATATGTATTTCTTCACAATTTTCATTATAACTTCAAGTATCTTACACAGATACCCAACATTCATAAATCAATGCAGGTGATCATGTAATGGGTATATATGGATTCTCATGCATTTATAATTCAAATTACAATTATTAGAATATATCCATACAATAAACATTTACTGAGGAATAAGGTAAGCGTTCATGATACTCTTTCTGTATAGCAGAGTTTAGGGCTGGGTTAGGTTTTGGGGTACATATTATGAAAAAACTGCTGGAGAGAACTGGGGTGGTTTGAAGCATTTCTTTCCCATTTCTATAGTGATTCTGATATTTACTATAAGACATAAAGAAGGGTCTAGATCTTGTAGTGATTGGAAAAGTGTCAGCAGTCATGCAGACCAGTCTCCATCAGCTCTGAATTCCTGTCCATGAGGCAAAATCCATTGAGAAGATCTCTTATATGGCAACAACCAGTGAGCCACAGAGCAGCACAGTTCTTTGTTGAATTTATGCAGTTTGTGGGTTCTTTTTTTCTCTTATTGTATTATTGATTCCAATAGTAAAGCTGTTCATGCAACCCTGGTGAGAAAATCTCTTAAGTACAAACAAAGACAGCTCGAGCTATTCACAAGCACTTAAGTGCAATCCACCTGGTTGTCAGAATTCTTCTTGAGCCAATGTCCCTTCCCTATCTCAGAACCTGAACCAAAGCTGAGTCTGAGCCCGACAGGAAAGGAAAAGTTGTACACATCTACACTAACAAGAAAACAGACACCGAGGACTGCATTACTGTGGAACCAAATATTTCAAGTTAAAAATGCATAAATTTTTAAATTAAGTGAAATAAAATTCATGAATCCCTTCCCATAGTTTCTAGTATGGCTAATTCAGAATTCTTTAGAGTTTGTGCTGGAATTTGGTCTTAAATGAATTGTAATTGGTGTATATGCATATTTAATTGTTTCATACCATTGCTTTTAAAAAATTTTTCCTTTAAAAAATTCTGGTTTTGGCCTTGGATTGTGGCTTAGTAATCTTTTCCCTAACGTGTAGCAGATGCTGGTTCCAATTCTCTGTACTAAGAAACAAAAATCTCATTTGATACAGGTCTTTTGAGGCAAATACTTCAGGATATTGTTGTTATTCAAGGTTTAAAGGTTCTGAATTATCCCATTAGCTCATTAGAGAGTACACATTCCTTTAAGCCCTTTTAATTCAGCCCCGTTTGCCTTGTAACTGTTGCTTCATAAACGAAGGCTGTTTATAGTGTTTGTGTTGGAGGGCAGGGTAAGTACCGAAAGCAGAATTATTTATAAGGAGAGATAAAGAAAAATGTACTTTTGAGTTAGCAGTATTTCTACAGAGCTAATATCATTCTTGACAAATCTCATGGTTGATATATCACCTTCCAGCCTCAGAGATAAAAAAAATTCAGATATTTAATTACCTCAAACATGAAGGCTACTCACACCTGTGGTTTTCTTCAGGGTATATGTGTGTTTGTGATCATTATGCTTCTGTTTGCTTCTGGCAGGATTTACTCAATTGAAATAATGTCAGAAAACTTTCGAAATAAGGTATACAAAGTGTGGGAAAATATATACAAGCATTTTGCCAACTTTGAAGGGGTGTAGTTCATTGTTACTTCAAACCCTCTGGCTAATTCTCAGCCTGAACAGGAATATGTTTCCATAGTTTGGGCTCACAGGATGGCATATATATCCAACATTTACGTGTGTATTTTCTAAGCAAAGGAAGCACACAATAACAGATTTTTTCACTTGCTGACTACATATAATCACAAACACAATGTTCTTATCTTGTGTAATTACTTATAAATGTGATATTTTGCCTTTTATTAGCAAACTCCACTTAGCATGGATTACTTTTTTAAAAGTTGGTTTTAAAATCTATGGTTGGGTTAACCAAACTACAGAGACACTTACAAGTCTTTAGTTTTAAATGGCAGTTTCTGCTTTGAGTTTTGACAATGGCTGAAGGTCATAAAATAGTACCATTTAGTTAAAAAACAGTTGATTTTTCTACAACATATCTGAAATTTTTTAAGTTCTTGATGTTTTTACTTTATATAGATTTTACTTTTTATAGTTTTATAGACTAATCAATAACTAAAATATCTAAAATCACTCTAAAAGTTTTTTCAAATGTAATATTAGTGGCATTAATAAGAAAAACAGCAAATAAATCAGAGCCTGGTTTAATTTTACCAGGAATTTTATTATACACTTTCTCTTAGTAGCTGCTATAGGGCTGAACTAAGACAATTCCACTGTAGCTGAAATAATTGCATGGGTCAAGGACAAATTCCAGGCAAAATTGTTAAGTTTCCCACAACTTGTGATGGCTACATTTTGAATGCATTAACTAAAGAAGATTAAAACAATCTCTCTTGATATAATTGATATGTTTAAATCATTTAGAATTAAAACCGATTCCCTTGCTATTTGGAGCAATTTTAGGCTCACATAAATTTGATGAGAAAATGATTCTTATTAAAAAGAAGTCATCTTTTGTGAATCTATTTTTATTTTTCCTTGAATTTGTTTATATCAAAATGTAAGTACTTCAGTATAATTAATAATAAAAGTTTCATTCTAAACTAAATAGAAAAGTCTTATTGAATTTTGTTTAGTTACATAAAAACAAACATACAGACAAGCTACTATTAAATTTAGCAAAAGCAAATGTGCTGGCTTAAAATTTTCCATTGTGTAGAGCTAATTAAAAATAAATGTAACACTTATTTACAAAGACTGTCCTCAGTATCTTTACCTTCACTCTTAGAGATGGAAATATAAGTAGAATTTTTATTACAGCATGATTGCCTAAGCTGTTTATTTCAAAATTCCACAGAGAGATATTTAATGATGCCTTTTAGTTTGACCATCCAATTTAATATTTTGTTATTGTATATGTTTGTTCTACAATTTTCCTATGGATAGTGTTCTAACTTGACACTGAATGGCATTGTTATCCCTTTTAAAATATACTATACATCTCAAACTATTATTTTTTATTATCTTCATCATTTTGTGATACTTGTCTCATGAATTTTACTGTACAAATCTTGATTCCACATTTTTTACTATAACCGAATTAAAAGTCAAGAAACCCGAAAGTAATTATCATGTCTACTGTGTGTGCTAGTATAACATATACAACACACATTGACACAAGGAAAGCAGGTCATCTTGTAATAAGTAATATGAAACAGGACCCCCACATTGTGTGTTTTGTATCCCTGAAAAGAGCCAATTTGTCTCATTATTTTACATCGAAAATCAAGATAAACTGTCTGTAGGCTGTCTTGATGCATTGGTCATCCCTTGCATGCCACACGCACACACACCCAGTCTGACGTCAGCGACATTTTTCCTCTACCTGCAGTTGTTTCTGTACGCCGTCAGAGGCTTAATCTTGCTGCTCATGAATGTCTTCATGCCTCAGAATTTTATAGATAACCCAGTAGAAAATGTTAAAAATCAGAAACGCAAGTGGAAAGCAGGCTCTGGAGACGGTGTCGATCTTCTTGGCCCTGTCGATGAACACTTTCCTCATTTCATCCGGGCTCTTTGGCATCACCTGGAGAGCATGGTTGGGCCCCTTCGGAAGCACACCATCTTTTGCTTGCAGACACGGCCCCATTCCATAAGCTGTGAAGCTGAAGCGACTCTCCCTCACCTCATCTTCCTGTTTACAGAAAACATCAGGAGATGTCTTAGTAAGGATTTCAGAATCACAGCTTAACCTTTATTGTGACACATGTTTGCTTTAATATGAAGAACAGATAGCTGAAGCACATGAGGATGGGTTGATTGGAGGTTTTCCTTGTCTTGCTACCTCATGGAGGTATGCTCATCAATGACACTCCCAAATGAAGTTTTAATGGAGAGATTTAAAAACTCTGTGGTGTTTGCATGTCACAAAGCATCTAAATGAGAGTAAGAGCAAAAGCTAATGAGTAATTTATCATAAATATGTGCATTTTAGAAATTTTTTTGGACGAGAGTTTAAATGTACAAATACCCGACAAAAGGGAAATAAACCCCAGAATAATTGACTGAATTACTCTTTCTCATGGAGACAACATTTCAATACTTATTTCTTACAGCTCTAGTTACTTCCTTGGAAAGTACAGTCTATCAGAAAATGCTTCTTGCTTCTTGTTACCTTTTGTGTTGATTCTCTATTTTATACTATCCTGTTTGCCAGAGCTAAAGAAAATAACATGCTCTAGTATGTGTACAGCTACATCACAGATACTCGAGTTTGGTGAATTATGACTAGAATTTGAAAGGTTTACTTCATGTTAAAACTGTGAGCTTATTATCACTTCTTGCCCCATTGGCTAAATCAACTGTAAATAATAGACTTGTTATAAAATTAAAATTCATAAACAAGGTTTGAAATTATACCATTAACTTCTAAACATAGCAAATTAAAGAGGAAATTCCACATAGTTACATAAAAAACTAAATTTGGGGCAGGGCAAATAGCTAAGTGGTTAGGAGCACTAATTGCTCTTATAGATCTCAGTTTGGATCCCAGCACCACACAGTGAGTGGCTCATAACTGCATTTAACTCTGGCTCAAGGGATTTTCTGCCCTCTTCTGGCCTCCACAGACACTGCAAGCACATGGTACAAAAAAACTTTCACAAACATACATACAAAAATACATACATACATACACATAGAATGTTAAATTAAAAACTCTATAAAATATAGTGGAAAATTAGTAAATATAACATCCCTATGATAAAATATGCAATCAACTAATATATAATAAAATCGATAAATTAAAATGTGAGAATAAATGTTTACTGATAACAAGACTCAATTTTTTCCCCCTGGTAAAACTGTTAGTTTAAAGGTACTAATTAATATATTTTATAGGTATAAAGCTGCTATGATAGTTCTTTTTTGTATTAGTTTAAGAGATAAAATTATCATTTGGCTCAACTTGAAATCTGCATTAGGTGTATGAATGTAGCTGCTCAATAAACTGTATGTTATAAAATATGAAAGTGAAAAATATAAATAATTATGGATTGTAAAAGTGAGAAAATAAACAAGGCTGATTCAGTAATGTATGAAGCAGTTTTCTAGAATAATGACGTTGAGGCAGTTCCACCTAAAAGACAAAAGCATATAATTACTGGAAACATTTTAGCCCTAAGACTCATTACGCAATTGGATTTAAGTGAAAGTAATTAAAATATGACAATTAAAATCACCTTGAAATAAAGCGTCCATCCAAGTTACCTGTGACTATTGTTGCAATCTTGCAAACAAAGAAAATGGAAATCATTTTTTTCAAGACTCTAGTAAATGTGCTCATTTATGTGACCATGTTTTGACTTACAAAAACCAATTTTATGGTAAATGTATTGCATGCTTTGAAATTGTCTGTCTTTAAAAATGTGCATATATATATATATATGAATTCAATTGCTATTATGTAAAAGGTATATTATCATTTTTAGGAGTAATAAATTTTGCAAGTGCTTGCACACCTGAATGGAAACGTAAGTTATCTCAGCAATTTAAATTATGTGTGCAGGTCGTTTAATGCTGAAATACAATATAGTATTTAAATTATATCAATGTACATGTTTAAAATACATCCTTAAAAGCTCAAAGCAGCTTTTCCATGAGCATTCGCCCATGCTGGCATATTAGCTGAATTGAAGAGTTAAGTATCAAAATACTAAGATTTCATGATTTTAAAATACACGTTTAACAAAACTTTTCATTGACTGCCTTTTTTCCCATTCATTCTTGACTATTTATTTTAAAATCTTTTAGACCACAGCTACTCTTCTCAAGTAAAGTTTTTTTATTGAAAAGTAAACATAATGAATGAACAACCTTTTTTTTCTGTTGTGTCTTTTTGTATACTTGGTTGTGCATGAGTCATGGATTGACATCAGTCCTGAGATGGTATAGCACTCTGAGAAATACCCCTGGTTTCTAAGGTATCATTTTCCTGTAAACATAGAATCAAGCGAAATGGAGAATGGAGTCAGTCTCATTCACAGTAAGGAACTGAACCATGGAAGCATGAAGAGGGCTGTTTATAGGTCTGTACATCTTTAGTCAGTGTGATTGGCAGTATAAAAAGATTGGGTTAAAAAAACCTCTATAACTTACATGTGTAAAAGAAATCACATAACCCTTGTCTGTTGTGCTTGCATCTGTGTGAGTGAGGGGGAAAAGCAGCTGTGTTCTAGAGAAATGGTCCAGACTACTGTAAGATGATGATGGGGCTATGCTCAGTTGAAAGACGGTTGTCGTTGCTTAGGGAGTGTGAGCAACATTTCACCCCGAACTTCAGCAATGGACACAGAAGACACATTTTAGAAGAGTTGCACCTCAATAGGCCTAGAAGTTTTTTGGTTTGGTATCCTCTAATGAGAATCTGACGCTGATCTTCTCTGCGTTTAAGGAAGCAAAAGATAGGCAAAATTTTATCAGACCTGAGTCTTATTACAGGATTTATCCCCTGGGGAAGTGTTACGTGGAAGAGCAATGAGATAAGAATTGAAGAGGATGCGTCTCAAGCTCCAGTGACTTCTTTCCTAATTAACCATCCTCGTGTAATTGGAACCAATTATTCGTAAGGAGAGCAGCATGTGAAGCAGTTGGTTTTCTGATCTGGCTCAAGGTGAAAACTTGAAAGAATATTTTGTTTGATCTTGATTACATCTATAATCACTGGTGGGTGACATTCAAAACTAGCACTTCTATAGTTTATTATATCCAATAAATATATGAGCATATATATATGCAAGCTACAGGACGTAGGCAGTTCATTTTAATTAAGAATTTTGAATTTGGTATGTCCAAAGTGATATTTCAGCATTTGTGCAACATATAAATTGAAAATTTTCACCTAATTGATACTAAGTCTTTGGGATCTGGCGTGTACTTTGCATTTATGTCATCTATAAATTCAAACTACATTCCTAGTGTTTGGCAGTCATATGCTGTCAGGAGCCACCAAATAATGCAAAATAGTTTCAGTGTAACTATTTGTAGAGATAGCAGAACTCTGTGTGACCCATGCTTTCATGACTCTTCAGGTTAATCATTGAAGGAGCTAATGATAGACTTCCAGATGGTGCAGCATAAGAATGTTTGGCAGAAATGCTGAATGTTCTTCTTCGGGAATTACTGGCCTTAGTGATCAATGCCCAGTTTTCTAGCGGGAGAAGTCTGTGGTGCTGTTAAGTCATCTTGTGAAGTGGAACAGTCCTGTACAAATGCAGATCTATTAAGTGCAGTGGGAAACCTAGGCTAGCCGCATCATCATCAGAATGTTTGGTAGAAATGTTGAATTCCAACCTGTAGCATTCTTATTCATGAATGTCTGACCTTGGTGATCAAATCACACCCTCTCATTGAAACTCTGTAGAATGACCATGGGTAGGGGAAGTCTTTCTTTACAGAAAGTGGAAGGATGTGTAGATTCATGAGCACATTTATTCTTGCAAAGATCATGCTGAGTTCACTAGTGGGAAGAAAGTCTCTCTTGACTATTTAAAAGAAATAACTTCATACATGGTTATTAAGAAGGTAAAAGATAATAGTAAAAATAGGTAGGATTCCCGTGAGTGATTTCCTGGCACATCTGGGAGACTGTATATAGGACGATTTTAGAAGCTACCACTCTTAAAGAAGTTCTCTGGATTTATTTGTATCACACATTAGGTGCAATGATAATAGTGGAAAATGGATATAAAGACACTGATAAAAGTTTTTAATTTATTCCATCCCCTCAAATAGATCTAATTGGACAAAGTTAAGGCCATTGACTCACCTAAAGACAGTCTTGAAGGTCAGAATTTTCTTACACAACTCAAAGTAGGAAATAAAAATAAAACAATATTTAAAACAGAAAGGTCAAGGGCAGTAAAAGCAGGTTTTGGGAATACTGTAAAGCAATGGAAAATATCTGATACTATTACAAACGAGCAAGAATGCAATAAGAGAAGACAAAGAGAATCTGATGAAAAGAGAGGAAAAGTGACTGGCTATGGTTGTAGGTTGTCAGTAGTCAAGAAGATTCTAGGTAGGAATGAAGAGAATACAGAGGGGACTTTGACTCCATGTACAATTGAAAGAATAGAACACACATTGCTATTTCTGGTCTGAGCCTAATATTGATTAGAAAAAAATTTTAGTATAATTTTAATTGGATGTATTACAATGGACCTGTTACAATTATCCAAATCTTCATCTAAACTAAACATCAAAGCCAAGGGAAGAATTGAGAAGTAGAGCAAGAAAAGAGATACCTTAATAAAGGGAGCCATTATAGTTTTAAAGAGAAATCTGGCACTAGGGAAATTGCCAGGAATCCAAATGGATGATCCTAACTAAGAATCTTAGCAATAGTGGGGAGGCTACCTTAAATGTTCTTCCCCTATGATGAGATTGATGACTACCTTAATGCCATTATAGAGCCTTCATTAAGTAGCTGGTGGAAGCAGAAGCAGAAATCCACAGCTAAACACTGAACTGAACTCTTGGAATTCAGTTTTAGAGAGGGAGGACTGATGAGCAAAGGGGTCAAGACCATGCTGGGGAAACCCACAGAAACAGCTAACCTGAGCAAGTGGGAGCTCATGAACCCCAGACTGGGAAACCCTGAATGTGGGTGTCAGTTGGGAGGCCAGAGCAGTCTAT